AGGTGTTAAAATCAATAAACATATTGTGAAATTACCGAGAATCCAGCAGTGACTAAGAGAGTGATTCTGGTCACATGGCAGTTTCTGCATGAATTGCACTACTTTTTGCAATAGGGAACTATCATCTCTGGCTCATTTAGAAATAACGTATGTGCCATTAGTTTTTCTGTGCAGGTAGGTGCTTTCGTGCATCACCCTGAAATAGTAGTCCCTCTTCGCAAAATATAGTATAAAGTTTATGGTTAACTATATAACGATTTCGAGGGTGTTTCTCCGTGCTGCTAAGTTGCCCAACCCCCGAGGGGTGTTGAGTGCCCGCAGAGGGCCGTTTTGCCGCGCTGAAAAAACCTGAATCATGATTCGAAAATTTTAAGTCGCTGAATCACCGAGCTTGCTGAGAAATTTTTGCCTCCGATATCTGCCGGCTAATCATGGAAATAAGCTCGGTGAATTTTAGGTAAAATTGAGATGAAAATGATGCTTTTGGCAGTCGGAGAGCTCTGTAGTAATTATATGACGATTTGACTGATCTTTCATTCGCTAAGTGGAATGATCCGGTACCTATTTCTGTGCCAATGTGCTTAAAAAACTATTAGACCTGTGCACCGTGTTGGAAAGTTGCCCTCTGTTATTTTTGCAATTCATTAACGGAATATTTGTGCCAAGCGCCGGTTTTTTTAAAAAAAATTATCGACTTGGGTGAAGAAATAGACGAAAATGTCGTGCAGTTAATCGTCACGTCTTTTTTCAAACGGGGCAGACCTGTGCTGATTCCGTGACGAGAGAGTAGGGAGCAGGGTTGGGTGGGAGGCTTGAATTTCAAATTTGCCGTGGCGTACCCTCTTTGAAAGTTTTTGGAAATTTTGTTGAGTTTTGTTTACCTCTATTACGTGGAAGTCCTTAAAAAGTTGTTGAAAGTTCTTTAGTGTCCCTATAATCGTCTTGAGATTTGGACTCAAAGAGCCGTCATGAACACGTGACACCTGTTGATAGCGTCACGTCAGACAAGTGACAAATTACGGCAGCTGCATGTGGGATTGTCTGAGCATGGGTCTGGGACTAACTGTAGGAGTGTTTTCTTCTGGACTGGACTCGTCTGGTCCGAGGACGGATGCGATCGGGTGGGCTGATAGGGTTAATTTGTGGTTTTCTCGGTGGATGTGTCAACCCCGCGAGGCTGGACGAGATGTATCAACAATAGGCCGGACAATAGCGTCCACGCTGCACTCCTCGATATTGTTATTGTTTGTAAGACGAGAGCACGATCTGAGGCTAAAAAACGCAAAAATACCCGCTGCCACTGGCCACACTCGCCACACTGGCCACCGGGCAGCGGCTCCCGCTCTCATCGTCATGAGACATAATCCAAGGTTCCATAAACAACGGACCCCGTCCAGCGCAGCGTCCACCGACGATGACGCCAGATTCCCTCTCCGAAGCCGTAACATTGAGTTTGGTCCCTCCGGCCAGATCTTAAATACTTGCCCGTATCCTCCAGCTCAAGTAGCTCTCTTACTCTCTATCCCACAGGATCCTTTATTTAGGATTAACTTCATACGGAGAACTTGCTTGATGTTTCTATTTCTCTCTTCAGTAGAAAGCCCGCTTTTCCTGAAAACTTCCAGCTCCAGCGCACAATCAAACTGGAGATAGATCACCGATGTATCCTTCCCCAAAATTTGCTGTTTTGCTATAATTGCACCTCTACATAAAACAGCGCGCTTAACAGCTTACTTCCCCAAAAGTAGCGCGCTCGAAAGACTTCCGGCAAATAAAACAACTTGCTTGGTAGTTTCCTTCCCCAAGAACAGCACGCTTGAAAGGCACCTAGCACAAATGGACGTATTTATGCTAAATGGAACTATGTGCAAGTGGAAAGATGGGGTGTGCTCGTTAGTTGAGGGCCATAAGAATGAATGGGACTTTAAAAGCGCCAGTGACGTCAGTGGCGACGACGAAGACGCACGTGGCGACGGGCTCATCGTCGGAGCGCTTTAACTCATGAGCCCTGTCCACAAGGCTCTTGTTGCATGCCTACGGCTCGCGAGTTAGCGCCCAGTTCCTTTTTAATTTAATTGAAAATCCTGCTTTTGCATTTTCTCAAAACCACCAACATTTTTTTCAATTGTTTTTTATCCAGCTTCCACGAGCACACCCCATCTTTCCGCTTGCACGTAGTTCCTTTTAGCATAAATACGTCGAAATAACAATGCGCCTCCCTGTTTTTCCTCAGAAACAAGAAGAGGGGAAAATAATGAAAGTCTTCCATAATTTGTACACATTTTTACGGCCCTCCATAATCCTCACGCGAGCGGCCACGCGATCATGATCGTGTGATCGAGAATATTCTGTACCCTGCTTTCATCGCCCAATTCCGTAATGTCGAAGCATCGATGATGCCCGTTGGTGGAATTTCGTATTTTTTGTGGAGGGAGGGGGTGGGGTGACAGAAGGGCACATTATCGAGGGAAGTCCGGGGGGGGGGGGGCACCAAAAAACACACTACCCAGAGGGGCTTGATTTCTTCAGTTGCACTCGTGATGTTGGCATGAAGACATGAAGCGGGTGGATCCTTGTAGCTCGTGGTGATTGTGCAGAATCCGCGATCCGGATTCGGCGAATAATTCGGCCATCACGTACGCTCCACATCGGAGAAGAGGATTTTGAAACGGGCGAGGACAGAGGGGGGGGCGAGGGATGAGGGGGGGCGAGGGGCCCCTCGAGGACTCGGCGGGNGGCGCATGCCGTCGTCGTCTAACGGGGCGCACGCCGCGCCGCGCCATCGGCCAACTACATCACTACATCGCCATCCGGCAGCCGGGCATCCGTTCGTCTTCGTCACCGTCGCGTCATCCGAGGGCTCGCCACTTCACAATTCCAAGAGTGCTAATAAGTACCAGAAGTTCCCGAAACGGGCTTTCGGGAAAAACCGAAGAAACGTACCCTTACACTGAAAAATAGGCATACCGTCTGTCCCGGGCTCAGAGGCAGAAAGTTACGGGTGCCGGAGCCGGAGCCTCCATTGCTCCGGGTCTACGCCCGGAACTTCCGGCCGCTGAGCCCGAAACGCGGACGGCATGTCTACAGCAAGTATTGCTTCTTCGGCCGGAGTTTTTTTTAATCAGTGTAGCTTAGGTTTAAAAATCCGCTCCAGCGTAGGTATTTTTCGATGCAGTGTAGCGGTCGTCACGACGACAGAATGAGTTCTCTTGGATAATGTCAGAATAATTTTTCGGGAGGATTCGACAAAAATGTCCGTATTGAAAACCCTGGCTCCGCGGAGGAAGGTCCTCCCTCCTGTGGACGGCCACCTTGGAAATTTTGCTTAGACAAAGGGTTCAAATTCTGAGGAGGTGATGAAGCTTGGTCCAGAATCGGGAATGCCTCGCCGTTGTTGAATTTAGACTCTGCAGTCTCTTAGTGGGGCCATCATTGGCATTGACTTGAATGGACAGAGCGAAGACCCTGGAGACGTAGAGACGAGGATGTGCCGACGCCGATGAGTCTGGTCCTGTTGGCGGAAGGAGAGAAGTCGCGTGCGAAACAGCTGTTGCGTCGACGCTGAAGGGGGCGGGGGCGAGGGCGAGGGGCCGAGGATGGCCTGCTGCCTGCCGGGCCGGGGCTGGGGGTGACGTCAGGCTGTCCCGTCCTGCCAGGTGAGGACCCGGGGCCCGGGCCCCGTGGAACATGGAGCAGCGATTACGCGGAACGATAGCTTTGATTTGTATTCACCTGTCAACCCTCGCGCCCCGCCGTCATCACTATTCACGCCGCGCCCGCGCCTACCGCCACCGCCACCACACTCCCATGTCGCCATTTCCGGTCCGACCCACGTTGCCGTTCCCCGTCGCCTCCCGCTCATGTCCGTTTCATCAGTCGAGAATTGTGGACCGCGGTTCTGAGGCTCCGGCAAAGATCCGGGACCAGGGGCCGTTCCACAAATACACCACCTATTAGAGGGAGGACAGGGGGACGATATGGCAACGCTGGCCCAGAACCCTCCGTCCGCGTCGTCATTCTTTCTCAGCGGGCTTTTTGGCTCTTCTCCTGGTCATATCACTGGACTGCCCCGTCCCTCTCCTGTCCTATTGTTTTATCTCTCTTTCACCTCATAAATCTTTGTCTTTCCTCCGACAATATTTCACTGTTTCCCACGGATTTAGGCACCGTACCGCACCGCACCGCACCGGTGGCAGAGTTTTTTATTGCTTTTTTAAACACACTTTAAAATGTATCGTCCATTTTTAAAATTTTTCCTGGAGCATGCCTCTCTCAGCTCTTCTCAATTATCTTATGAAGCAGTTTTTCTGACGAAAACCTGAAGGGTTACTGTTAAAATATCGTAAAGAAGCATCCTGTAATATATCCTTGAACCGTGGTTTTTACGTAGGACCATTTTTCTTGATGGCACCATAATATCACGAACTTTAAAGTTCAAACCTTCAACTCAAGGAGCGATTTTGAAGGAGAGTTTAAACCTTTGAACCAAAGTTTGCAGGGAGAGTTTTTCGACTAATTCTTCAGGGTAGAGTGTTGGTTTTTGGCAAATTCTCTGTACACGCCAATGATTCTATATGATTTCTTCTATGATTCTTTATGTCTAGCATCAGGATTTTCCCGATTTTCTCGATTCTATCAGGACTTGAGAGGTCAATCAGGATTTAATCCCGATTTCATCAGGATTTGAGGAAAAATCGGTCGTTAAATCGGGATTTGAGAAAAGTCGGCCGTTCGATCGAATTTTTTTATCAAGCTATTTTTGTCAAGTTGAAGTTTCTCCGCCAAAAATCAGGATTTGATCAGAATTTGGAAAAATTATGAAATGAGGATTTAGCAGTCAAAAATCAGGATTTCATCAGGACTTTCCCTAATGAAAAAAAAAAAAAAAAAACTAGACACCCTGATTAAGTTGATGGACTGTCGCTATTAACTGCCAAAGCAAAACTTATTACTTGCTGTAAAGATGGTACATTGAATGTGTATATCTTTTATTGTTCTAGGTACTGGAAACACAAGTGATGGAACGTACAAACCCTCTTTCCTCACTGACCAAGAACTGAAGCATCTCATTTTAGAAGCGGCAGATGGTTTTCTGTTCGTAGTTTCTTGTGACACAGGTCATATAATCTATGTTTCGGATTCAATCAGTCCTGTTTTGAACCATTCTCAGGTGAGTAGCAAATCAATTTTGTATCAAACAATAACAAACAAATTGAGAACAAGTGGAAAAACGCAGAGCTCTGATCTTTTGCCACTTTGTAACAAAATGTAAAAGTTATAAAAAGGTCTTTATTAAATTTAATCAAATATGGCAACTGTAGGCTGCATAATACGCTTATTTGGTCCTTTGAATAAGTGAGTCTATTTCATTTTTGCTCTTGTCTCTCAACAGCTAAATGTGGAAAAAGTGTATCTTAATCACAAAATTTAAAAATCTCTGCTTGCATTTCATTTTTTCAGGGGTAATTAATCAAAATGCACCCTCGTAATTTTGCGCAAGATTTTTATAGAATGAGCAGAGAAAATTCTCTAAAGGCTTTAATGAGGATTATCATTTATTAATTTATTTTTATGATTATTATTGATTATAAAAAATAAAAAGCGATTAGAGGTTTTCATCGTTGCAATCTGAGGCCTGCATTTTTCGACTCAAAACATCGATATGCAAGATTACCTTTTTGGCTCCAGGAAGAACTGCAAGTAATGCCTACATCATGGTCCTATGAATATGAAAATGAACTTATTGTTGATTTTTAGTGTTAATACTTCTTGCACCACTTGAGTAGCCTTCTGATGTACCTATATTTAATACTTATTTTAATTCCCAGTGTACGAAGCTACACTTCAATGAGATAATTATTTTTCAATTAAATTTTTGCACATGCAGAAATTTGCACCCAGATGGATCTAAAAAAATTATATTCGATTTGATTTAATCAGAAGAGAAGACTTGTATCAGCTTGAAAGTAAATGAAAAGGATTTTTAGATCCGTGTTATATTGTTAGAAATTAAAAAATAAACCTAGCTTGTAAATTTTCAGAATTAATACAATGAAGACAAAGACCATATCTTTTGATAAACTTTCATAACAGTCACCGCTTTGGTTTGTAGAAAATTGATATTTTAAGTGGAAAAAGATAATATGTACACCGCTGAATTAAAAAAGAAAGAAAAAAAATTCTGACCATGATTTTTTAGAAAATGAGGGAATACTTTTATAGCATAATATCCTTTTTTTTAAAACAGGAGTAAAAAGCAAGGTGAGATCCACAATGGTGTGATCCTAGATTTGTGTGTTAATTCAGAAGAATTCAGGAGTTCTCCCTGAAAATCAGTCAGAATCACTGAAGTTCAAAGTGTCCTTTACACATCTAGAAGTTTTTAAAAACTCTAATGCTTCATTTCTTTTCTTTTTTTCTCTCTATGAAACAGAGTGACTGGTTCGGATCCTGCTTGTATGACCACGTTCATCCGGATGATGTCGAAAAGGTGCGAGAACAGCTATCCACGCAAGAACCGCAGAGCACAGGACGAATATTGGACTTGAAAAGCGGAACTGTGAAGAAAGAAGGTCATCAGTGTAAGTCTCATTCATCATCAAATATGAATGTCGTCTATCAGAAAGAATCAGCGTATCTGTTACTCATTTCTCTAAACTGATACGCCCTCTCATAATTATGTCTATTCCTTTGATTTGTACTTGACTGATGCGGTCCTAATAATCCTTTCTAAGTTTTAGTTTGAGTATGATCATAAAATATAGTAAAAATTTCTGAGAATTTTAATTTTCTGTTGTTTTCCGCCCTCTTTGCAAAATAATTTAACTTTGAGTCATCTTCAAGATTGGTCGCTGGTTTAAAATATTCTAAGCTCCAAGACTTAAATGTATCTTTAACTGTTTAGAACAAAAAGATTTAGTACTTCAATCATGAACGTTCATTTTTCAAACTGAGTCTTCCTCCTGTCTCAACTCAAAGTGTCAAGGTTCCTTTTTTCTGAACTCAGTTTGCACAGTTCGTTTCCCAGAAAAAGGAATGTAACTCCATTCCAAGGTTGCAAAATGGACTATAACAATCCATTTTTTACATGAAAAAAATCAATGCTATGTGTTGGACTTTTGACCTGAAATCAACCTATATCCCTGTATCTCAACCCTCAAATAATGGGTCAAGCCATTCAGTCTTTCAGCCTTTTACCCACGTTAAGTGATCATAAGCCCCTTTTTCAGTTTGTCACGCATATGCCATGAGTATCATTCGCAGCCAATAATTTCCCTGGATTGTTTTATTTTACAGCTGCGATGAGAGTTTGTATGGGGTCCAGGAGAGGATTCATCTGCCGGATAAAAGTCGGAAATCTAGGACCAGACGCAATGGCCAGCGGACACCTTAATAGGTTGAAGCAGAGGAATAGTTTAGGACCATCAAAGGACGGTCATAACTACGCTGTTATTCATTGCACTGGTTTCATCAAGAACTGGCCGCCATCTGGTCAGTTTGACAATCCACTAGCTGGTATTGTATCCATTTTTTCCCTCATTTAATTATAGTTTGTAAGTTTTCTTGTGCTCCTCGTTTTCACTTAGGTGAAATTAAAAAAAAAGCGACAATTCTATTCTGCTTTCTGTATTCTCTGAGGCATGCAGAGTTTTTTGCGCTTCCAGTGTTTTGGTCTTTGGTATAATTTAATGATTTTGAAAAGTGTGGAGCATCCATATTTTCTCGATAATGTTACAAGAGAAAAATTTCCCTCTAAATACTTTTAATCTACTTTTGTAAGTGAACTGCTGATTCAAGTAAATTCTTATACATATCATGAAAGAAGTTGAAGCTAGCATTCTATTGCACTCAATTACATCTGAGGATTCAATGCGTTTTAGAACTTCCTCAAAATGGTAAAAGATTGATTTTTGTGGACTAACAGTTTATGTCACCTTTTATATTTTTTTATTCACAAAATGTATCATGTATGATGTTCACTTGTATCCGTAATGCTGTATTTTCAGTATCATTTATCAATTTCGTTTTTTCATTAGATAAAAAATTATGTTCTAAATTTTTTAATTACAAATCAATTTGGCCTGCTTTTACTTTTAATTTTGATGTTATTGATGGCACTGATATATACAGACTCATTTGATCAAATCATCATAGTTTTCTCAAACCATGGAAAAAAATTTGCCGTGAGTTGAAACAACACAAAAACAATTTTAAATTTGTTCACTGCATTCAATTCAAAGAACAATTTAACTTTTAAGTTTTCCAATGTTTATCTTTAATTTTACCTTTGTAAATACTTGAATTTTTCCTGGATTCTAATACTTTTCATGGCTTTGTGAAGGTGTTCAAATGGACCGTGGCGTAGAAGAAGAATCAAAGCATTTCTGTTTAGTAGCGATAGGACGCTTGCAACTCACATCAACGCCCAATGCAAGTGACCTATCCGGTGGCAACTCTAATGCAGGTATTTAAACCTCGATAACTCCATTGGTTTTAAAAATGATTTGTGGCTAAAACAACCATTGATTGGGTTTATTGTCATATCTTGGCATTTGACAGGCTCCAAAATTGTGTGATCGCACAAATGTGTTTTTTGAACAAGATCATAACTTAGGCCAGGGTGCAGAAAAAAATGTTCCTCTAAATTTATTTGGGATCCTAAAACAATGCCTCCTTACTTCTAGGGATTTTCTCCAAATGCAACAAATTTGCTCTGACTGGAAAACAGCAGGTGTTTCAGCTTGTTTTAACTTTAAAAAAAGATGATGCTCCCAAATCAGAGTCTGAAAAATTAAGAAGGTTGAGATGTTTCGGGAAAAACTACATAAGCTCCAAAATTTTCTGAAAAATAGTATCAGTTTGAAACTTACCAAAAATTTGTCAAAACTTTCTGAAAGAGTTTGGAAGAATACATAAATTTGTTTTTGTTTTTAAATGAGTCATAGAATTCCTAATTTTCAAAAGCTTCCTTAATTTTTTGCAAAATCCTTTTTCCGCTTTTTTTGCCTACCTCGAACTCCGTGAAGCAACGGATATTCACGTCTCGGTTGGTTGCACCCAATGTAAAGGCTCAAGATGTAGTCATAACGTTAATGTAGCATATCAATTAAGGACTGCGGATAGAGGATGCTGGTTGAGGAAGGTGATAATTTTGTTTAAGTTAAATGTAGAAAGCTTTGGACTGATCACATAATGTGATCGCTAACCTGTCAAATTTTGTCTTTGAAGTATGTTATGAAAATTTATGGTTGTAACTTTTAATGTGGACTGTTATTTTTAACTTTTTCTTCAACCATGATTTTCTCTTCTTGCAGAGTTCATATCAAGACATTCCACTGATGGTAAATTTTCGTTCGTCGATCAAAGAGTGATTAACATCCTTGGCTACACGCCTCCAGAGCTATTAGGCAAATCATGTTTCGACTTTTTCCATCCGGAAGATGTGTCTCATATGAAAGAGAGTTTTGATCAAGGTATGTAACTAGTTAAATTTTTCTCCATAAATTCGTTAAGAGGTAGACCAGTAATTGTATTTTACTAAGATATGTGAAGCTAGAAGTTGCTCAGTATAAAATTGCTTTGAGTTTTTGAAAACTAATGGGGGAAGAGAAAGATGCTGGAACTCTATTTGTTGGTTTTCTTTAATGAAGAACCATTCATCATGTGATATCTTTGCATGAATATTAATTGTTTCCATAATCAACAATGTATATTTTGTTGCAGTTTTAAAATTGAAAGGGCAAGTTATGTCTGTTATCTATCGATTTCGTGTGAGGAATAGAAATGATTATGTTTGGCTCCGTACTTCAGCATTTGCTTTCCTAAATCCGTACACAGACGACATCGAATACATAGTGTCTACAAATACATTAGCAAAGTAAGTACCTTTCTTTTGTTTTCTGTTTTTTTTTCCGTAGAACATTTGGAGTCTTTTCAAGAAAAATATCAGACAAGTCTCTATCAGCCCTAAATTTTATACCAATATCTAGAAAAACGAGGACAATGTTAATGCTTTCCTTTGTAATTTGAAGTAATATTATTCACATGGTTCGTGCAGCCTGGAAAAGCGCTTGATTTTAAACTTGTTTTTCATGACCCTGAAAGTGCTTGAGTTTTGAGGAGGGTGCTTGAAAAGTGCGGGAATTTTACCCACGCCTAATTTTCAATGGTTAATACGCTGGCTCTGATTTTTCGACTTTTCGAAAATTAAAGATTTGATCCCCCGAAAACTTGTCTTTTGGTGTGACATGAACCTACAAAAAATTTCAGCCGGATCGGATCATTCTAAGTGGTGCCGCAGCGGCCGACAAGCTCCCAAGCGAGAACTTCCAAATTTAAAAAATCGCGTTTTTCCGTCATATCTCGAATTTTTCCCCCTTTTAAATTGTTGCTATGACTTTAAAATTTTTTGAGGTAACACACTTTTCAGGTTACTTTACGAAAAGAATAACAGAATTTACTTCATCACTTTTAAAACGCCCCTTTCCCCCCTTCGAAGTGGCGCCACATCGTGCAATTTTGCCAATTTTTTGTAACATTCTCCCGGCCAGGTTTGCCTGTACGAGTTTAAACTTTTCGTCGAGTCCAAAGGAAAAACTCTTCACATTATTTAAGTGTAGTGTCTACCGAGTCATTAAAGCCAAAAGGAAAACATTCTGTTCAGCTTTGGGAAAATAAACTTAATTTAAAGGTATTTTGGGGCTAAAATTGGTAAACTACCGGTAGTAAGTCCCGTTCCATTACCGAAAAGAAACAGTCTCGATAGTTGTAATGCTTGGGTTTCTTAAATGTGGTCATTTGAAGTACTAGAACACTAATACCACCGTTTTCAACCTATGGTAAATTTAATTATGGTAAATTTTGGAAGCCTAAAATTACCTCTCAGAGCCGAAAATTGCGCCAATTTCCTATGAAACTCTCCAAAAAATGGCCTGCTTTTTGGGTAGCCGATTTGGCCATAGAACCCAGTTTCAATTGAATCGAATAACTTAAAGCTCAGAGAAAACTTTCAAGATGAACAGAGGAACGGATTCTGAGTTTCAGGGAAGGAGGAGGGCCTACAGGCTAAAATGCCATCTAATATTTTCTGTTTTCTTGTTAAATTGATGTTGCCAAGGGCTTCAAGTTGGTGCTCTTATATGTTAAGCATATCGATACTTCACTATTTTTACATGTAGAACGGAAATTTTACGTCAGGGAGTCGATATATGGATTCGTTTCATAGATTTTTTCTCAATTTTACTTGGAACATTGGTGGTTGAACGTCAAAAAAGTCATGCTGGGTGTATCTTCAATGACTCATACTTGTCCAATAATAACTACAAAGATTGGCTCCTCCGAGCCTGATGATTATAAAAGTGCAGCATGTGTATTTTGCGACACAAGTCCTGTAAAATTGTAATGATGGTCGAATCTGCTGTTGAAAGTCACTTGAAAGGGCAAAAACATCTAGAAAAGGCTCGATTTTTTGGAAAGAAACCTCCCAAACAACAGAGAAGAGTTGATTTGTGGATGAAGCAGATACCGGGAGAAAACTGTGCACTTAGGAAAAAATTGAGAAGAAGTGCTTGAAAATTCTTAATGAAGTGCTTGGAAAGTGCTTGATTTTTTAATCAAGAGGCTGCACAAACCATGATTTATCGTTTCAGCTTGTAGTTGAACTCTAGTTAAGAAGATTTGTGTGTCCTCGTACAGCAAATAATCAGTAATTTTTATGCTTTTTTCTTTATTCTTTCATTGTAATGCTCTTATTTTTCAATATTTTGAAGGAATGCTAATTTACGGGATCATACAGCCAATGAAACCATTATCTGAAACAGGGCCTTTTTACTGACAAACTGAAACTTAAGCATTAGACGCCATAGCATGGTCGGTAGTTTTACTAACTGTCAGCACGAAGAAGGCTTCATAATGTCGAAATTCAATAGAACTTATGATGGCTTGAAATGGCCAGTTCAAGAAGGTCCTCCAGAAGAAATACATTTTGTATTCTTGATCATCATCTTCAGATCACAAACTTATTTGATTTATCTCTCTCCTTTAGATCTTTACTGGAAAAACAAGAAAAAAAAAATAGAAATTAATTGCTTTCAATTTACTTTCTAGGATTTTTGAGGTTGCTTTTAATTAAATTCTCAAATTTAATTTTTCAACTCAGTTCAAGGGGGTGCGAGTGTACCAGGTCCGAATGAAGTAATTTTTGAAGATGATTAAATCTGATTAAATATAGGAGAAAAGAGGATCAGATTTTTTTGTAAAAAAACTAGAAATTTATTATTATGGAACTGTAGGCGATCTGCAAACTCTGTATATCCATGATCTTGTTTTTGTTTCAGGTCATTACAGTCCCCTGGAAACTCAGAAACTAGCGAGCAACCTTATCAGCCCTCTGTTGATTATAGTTTGCAACAGAGGTATCCATCACATTTAATCCTCAACCCTCAGCAACATATCCACAGTAAGTCCAGCAGATTTATCTTTTTCCTTCGTTCAAATACCTTGAAATGGGAGTGCAATAATTTCAAGCCTTTCTCCAAACTCGATTGGCCTTCCCCAATTTTTAACCGAAATTCATGATCACAATCCCTCTGAAGACCTGAAGAAAATATTCAAGTCAACCCCCCCCCTCCCCNCCTTCCCAAATTGAAAAAAAAAAAAAAAAAATTGTAGGCTTTATCACTGCCAAAATTTGTGGTAAAAGGTCATGCCAAAAGTCTGACAAGATTCCCTCTTTTTCTTTGTTCATATGGTCAGTAACTCAGAATCATGTATTCATTATTAATTGTTAGAGAGTGCTGAGGAGAATTTCTAAATATGTAAATTTTCCTTCATAAAGTCTTCCTTGTTAAATTCGAACTTAACATAAAGATGGTTTCATTCACAATAAATTATGTCCAATCAGTTTGTGTAAATTATTCTGAAAAAAATTACAAAAATTACCCTCTTCGCTAAGAAAGAATCCTTTTTACAAAAACTACTCTCTTTGCCAAGAAAGATTCTTTTCCCATATTAACCATGTATGTATTTTCATCATGTTCGGCAAATCGCAACTTATGGTTTTCTCTCTCAGCAGCTAGCAGTTCTCAGCAACAGCAACAGCAGCAGAGATCAAATAGTTCTCAAATGTACGAAAGCTATGAAAATTCTCAACAGCAGAACTCGCCGTCTATAGGTTACAATTCGCCAACTCCACAGAGCAGTAATCCAGCGTCCGTTTTGAATCGTATCAGCAAGTCAAGTCCTACACCGGCGCAGACTGCCTGGACATTGCGACAGGTAAATACATCTTAAACACATCACCAAAAAACCAGAATAAGTGCTGATACAAGATAGGACCCCCGCCTCCCAAAGGATCATAAAAGACCTATTAAAATTACGATCCATTGATAACATAGTAAGAGCTCCTGCAAGTACAGGTAGCAAAGTTAATAATAAAAATACAGTAATTAGAACTGATCAAACAAACAGACTCAAATATTCAATGTTTATACCAAGAACTCGTATCTTAAAAATAGTAACAATAAAATTTACTGAGCCTAAGATAGAGGAGACTTGAAAAAAAGAAAAAGAATTTGTCTACTTTCTTTTACTTCTTAGCCCATAAACAAGGGCTTATGATTGATTGGTTTTCGCTCCATTTTGCAGTGAATTATGCTTTTCTCATTTCAAACCTCTTTAATGTCATGCATCAATGGTAACAATGGTAACATGTATCAGAAGGTAAAATTAGAAAGTCTTGTTTCTTTATTTGCAACATATCTTATTTCAATTCATATGTTATTGTTATTTTTATCATCATGTATAAATGCCAGAAAACTCTTGTTTCAAAGGAATCTTTGACAAATTGGCTCCTCTATTCTTAGCCAGAAATAATTTAATTAAAGAGGTGATATGTACACTTAAAACTTAAATTAAGTGTTTATTCAAGGAATGCACAGTGCAGATTGATCCCCAAAATTGAATTTTTGACAGAAAATTTGCCCTTGAATTTTATAAACTCAATTCTGGGAAAAAATCTATTTTTGGACTTTACCAAAATGATTGTTGAAAAAAGTAAGATATTTCTGGGGTACTGAAATATGAATAGTCCTTGATAAATTGCCGAAAATTTGTCGACTTATTTACCTACCTAATGAGCATTTTAAAATTGTTTGCAGCAACCTGTGACAGAAGGCTATCAATATCAGCTTAGTCCGTCCCGTTCCCCAACAGGACCAACGTATACGCAGTTGAGCGGTGGTTCCCGTTCTAATAGCATTCCTCCTCCAACAGCATATCATACTCATACACCTCCGTCTGCAAATCCAGTTAATCCAGGTGAGAATCCTACTTGCAATCCAAAGTAGTGTGGAAACTTTTAAAAGCTTTCTCTCAAAACGAAATTTTGTAAATTACAGATCTGAAGTATCATAACTGAGGTTTGGTCTGAAATATTTGGGGGTTTTGCGCCTGTGTTGGCGGAACACTTTTCTTTGCAAGTGTGCTAATCTCGATTTTGAGACATTTCATATGAAGGTCCGTATCACTGTGGCTGGTCATGTTTAAGCAAGTATCCTGTGAAGTTTTATTCGTCACAAATTCTTAGCGATCCAGTTGATCCTATACCACCTTCCACCTTCCTATTTTAATATTTTGTATTTTCCGTACACTTGGGTTAAATATTGATGGCTGAAGTCATAAATGTGTATCTCCCTTGCAACTTTCAAAATATTTGATCGTGTTTAATATTTTTAAAAGGAAACAAAACAAAATATCTCCTTGAAATATTCTATGAATTTTTTTGAATAAGTGGAAGAAGCTCACTGAAAATGTCAAGCAAAACTATCAGATGATTTTCTTTTAAGAAAATAAAAGTTATGAGAAGGCTTACAGTATCACAATTGGAGGTTTGTTCTTTGACCTTAGCTACTTTTTCCACCTGCCATTTAAATACGTTTGTTTTATAGCATTCATTTTTTTCGATTTCGATTGACACAACTCAAGGACAAGGCTATCACTAGTATTTATTGACAAGTGTTTTTAAATGTTTCTGTTCCATTTTCTTAGGTCTCATCAACTCTGAAAATTGTTGGAAGTAACTGAAGTTGATTATTTTTGTTGCAGGAATGTGGGCGTGGCAAGGCGGGAGTCAGACAGGAGATGGAGTGCCTCACCCAGGCGCGCCGGGAGTTCCACCAAACGTACCGCCGCAAGAATTGTCCGATATGATGATGCAAATGCTTGACCAGACTGGTGCTACGCCCTTCGAGGATCTCAATATGTTCAATGGGCCCTTTGAGTAGACATCTCTCGTCAGCGAACTGACCCAGATCACGCCAATCATCATAGCTAATATTTTTATTGTTTTATCTTTAAGAGTATAGAAGGAATTTTCAATGTTGTATTGAGTGTAATTCATTTGTATATAAAATATTTTTAAATTTCTTGTACAAAGTTTTAAATTGTATTTTATAGGTAGAAAATAAGCCGATGATCTTTATCCTGAGTGTCTGAACTCTTTTCAGAACGTTTCTTTCTTTCTTTTTCATTTCGAAACCATTATGCATTTGTCATTGAATCATTTCAATAAACTTTTTTTCAGTATGTATCCTTGTCTGAAAATTTCCTCTTGTAATTTCGTCCTCAGTATTATTGTTGTGAATAATTTTACTTTTGGAAAAGGAAAATGATTTTAATCAATTTTATTATTTATTAATTTACACCAGGAATTTTAATTATGATAAATTTTAAAATACTCTCTGACATGATTTTCCAAATAATTGCAAAATTCTTTTGTACTAGGCTCAACTTTGGTGGGTGCATTCAGAAGTTTTTGTCACTGGCCTTGATTTAAGAATTTTATTTTGATTCTTGAAACAATCTTATTAGGTAAATTTCTGAAAAGGAAATAGGTAGGATACTAGCGGAAGGTTTAACGTAAACCTACACAATAAGTAAAGTCACATGATAATATGGAAAATTTTTTGCAGAGTATCAGTCATGTTTTGATCACATAGAAGCACCCTCTATTCATATATTTCAAAGAAGTCTCTCAAAGAAACTCTAAATTAAAGCCAAAACTATTTAAATGCACAAATTCATCATTTGATCAAATTGAAGGCAAAATTTTATGCTTGATGCTCCAGATTTCATTTTTTCAAATGAGTTTTGTGTTTTGTGAGCTGAACCTAAAATTTGCCTCTAGACGTGATTGTTGTGTTTTTTGTCATTAAATATTTAAAATAAGATCAGTATTGTAGCAAAATTTGTCTGATTTCTCCATGCATTTTCTCTGCAAGTATAGATTCAGCTTAAAAGATCATTTAGTAGTACCTATTGCACATTATTTAAGCCCGGAAAGTCACTATAAGGGTACCTGAAAATCAAACTCGGTTAGCCAAAAGATGAAAATTTATCTATCATTCCTGTTGATAAAAGTGAACCTGCAATTTTTCAAGTGAAGGACGGTGAGTGGAAAGCTAATTTTAAATTCTTTACACCTTAATTTCTACTAACTTTTCCTCAACATGATAAAAAAAAAAAAAAAAATCCTCCAGAGCTCTAATAACTTAAACTGAACTATAACTTAAGATGATCGATCGTTGTGTGGAAGATAATTTTTCATTCACATTCAATAAGCATTGTACAATCCCAATGAACATTGATTGTTGTCACCGCCAAAATCAAAATAAATGGAGGAAGTAAAAATTATCATGCTCCAATAAAATATCAATCTGAAATTGTAGGGATCCACATTCCACCCATCAGTCCTACCACCATGATTATATGCCACCCCGAAAAATGTGTTTACAATTCATAAGTGTTATTATCTTACAACATCGCCTAGAAGAATTTGCATATTTGGAGATGAGGTAAGTTTATTTCAGCATCATTATTTTAAAGTTGAACATTTGTAGATCTACAGGAAGTGAGGCCTCATAAACCCAAGTTTTTTCTTTGGAGAAAAAAAAAAGAGAACAAGAAAAAAAAGAAAACACAAAAAATGGTAAAATCAAACATTAAGGAGTTGTAATACAAGTCATTCAACAATTTTCAAATGCACCCTATACTGAGTCAAAAGATCCCTTCGCACTGAACGTACCCACCTGTAAGTAGACTAGTCGGATTTTTTTAAAGGTACCTGAACAATTTTTTTTATTCGCCTATTTAAGTACCTGCAAATAAAATAAATTTAGGGAACATGTTTTGAGTAATCAAGGGGCATCTTTGAAAAAGGAGTCGAATGAAGATCCCAATAATTTCGAATATAAAAATTGCTGTAGGAGATATTTATAACAAAACGGAATTCGAAATTTCATCTTTTGGCGTCAATTTTTGGTGCTTGGTATGAAGGACAAATTGGACTGCATTTTGCAATTTGGAACTATAAATTCTGACTCGGTTCAAAAAGAACGTATGTGCTATAAGTTTCCTTATGCACATAAGTGTTTTTCCAGAAGAGCCAGAATTTATAGTTCCAAATTGCAAAATACAGTCCAACTGAGACTGGATTCTCTCCAAAATATCAAGAAAATATTTGAATAAATGTCCAGAACACTGAATCTCAAAAAAATTTTCCTTCATCCACGAAAGCCGATCGATAAATTTTTTTCCAATCGTTTTGGAATGTATTCTAATTATTTTCAATTTGCCTTCAATATTGTGTGTACATCTATTGCATACTCTTTTCTTTGAAGGCATTTTTATTTTTGGCCTGAGTAGCGCCAGCAGCGCTCTCTATCGACGTATAAACAAAACATGGCTCCAACCCATTGACGTATAATAATACGTCAATGCTCCAACCGGGAGTACCGGGACCCGGGAGGGACCTAACCTGCCTAACCTCATTTTTTCGTACGTAAACAAAACAGAGCACGTGCTATGTTTGTGTGAAGTGTTTATTGTTATATTCAAATTATTTTACTCAAAATGGAATAATTTATTTTATTCAATTTTTTTTTTAATCGTTGCAACCATGACTCTCAGTGTTGCTGATCAGATTGATAGAGTATCCACAAGTTTTCAATCACTCACGGAACATCCTGATAGATATTTGAAGTAAGTATGTTTCAATCAATAAGTATTGATCCTATTTGTAAAAGTTTCAACGAGCATAAGCGTAAATATCCATTTATTAGGCACTCTACTAGGTCTCTCTAGGTCTTGACATAAGTAGACATGATATAAACCTCAGAAATTGAAGATATATTCTAAATACTGGCTAGAGATTTGGTACCGCTGGCGTTGGAAACTTCCCAAGCTGCCGCCTCTGATCGGGCTGAAATATTTTGTATGACCTCTTTGGATGAATCCATTAGGACTTTTTTTTGTGTTTTTTACAAGGTGCATTGGGAAAAACAAACATGATATTGTTGGATTTATTGAAAGAGTATGTACGAATATTTTCAGCCAGATCGGACGCAGCAGCTTGGGAAGTTCCCCTTGTGAGTAAGACTAGCAAATGCCTGCAGACAATCATCGGGGCTTTTTTTATCGGAACCGCAGAAAATTGCAATGGAATGTACTAGTTCTTTATCCCGGTCCACTGGCTTGGTTCAGCCTGTTTCTTGCGCTCCAGTGGAATATTTGGATTCTTCTCACGAAGGGAGATGAGAGCAGTTATGTGCGATTCTGACCTCAGTCGAACCATTTCAAAGCATTAAGAACCTGATCTATAGCATCCCATGTGTTCTATGGATTGAAAGAAGCATTACCTAACAGTCTATTTATCGCAATCCATTTCAAGCTGGTTTCAGTTTTAAGGAGTTCATTTTCGAAATATTCAATCATATTTTCCCAGTAAGGGGTTGTCATAATCTTTTCATGACATTGAGCTATCAGTACTTGCATCCTTATTCCTGGAGATCACTTACCTTTGGAATGAGACATAAGATGTGCCCTCGTTAAGTCCATGCCAAATAAGTTTACACACTATTAGGACTGTTATAATGAGTCAGAGGACACGCCATCTTGATTCTTGTATTTGTTTCATTGCTAAACCTAAACTAAAAGTACAGAGAGAAGAAGCAGATTTATAGGCTATGTTTTTAATCCATAGTTAAGTTAGATCAGTATTAGTCTCAATTTATCCATCTTGAGTTGCTATAAAGTCATGAGGTATTATTTCGTTCATGGCGGAACTTCTTCTCCCCAACCGTCCACAATTTTATTGTATTACTTTACCATGGGCGGAGCCTAGCTTTCGAAACAAGTGAGCATTCACATCAACCTTTTCGTAAACAGATTTCCAGAGCAACCTCTATTAGGGGGACCCTTTTAGTCACTTATCTGGGGCTCTTAGACAGTAGACTGGGGACAAAACTAGTGTGCCAGAGGACTGCACTGTCAGTAATTATGTTGCCTTGCTATGATTGGCCAACTGCATTGTAATGGAAATCTTCGATTGTCCACAACCAGTAGAAAAACCCTCTCAAAATTCACATGGATTAGGTATTCTAAAGACGACTTTGAGTCAGCCATTTCCCAAATCTGCTCTTGTAAGTTCATTTCTGGTTTTTTTACCTCAAATTAGAAATTAGATATGGCAAAAACTTCCCTTGAATGCGAATCATATGTTCCTTTTAAAGTATTTCAATGAAATTTGTAATTCCATATTCTTCTCTCTTCTATTTTCAGAGCACAAAATGATATTGTCGAAGATGTCAAGCAACTAGTAAAAAATTCTTATGATCTTACAAAGACACTAGAAGAAAATACGGCAGTTGAAAACAAAGAGTCACTGCCGGAGCTGCTGATAGAAGGTTTTGACACTGAACAGATATGGCAGCAATTGGAACTCCAAAACCAACCGGTCCTCAAAAGTCTCATTTCAGCCATTAGTTCATTTAAAGCCAGAAAAAGTCCTCTAACATTCTTTCCATCCGATGAATCTGAGAAAAAACCCTTGAAATCAAAAGTACTCAAAGACCATGGATCCAACAAAAAATCCACGTCCAGAAAAGCTCAGTCTGATGGTGAAGAATCAGATGAAGACAAACAATCGGATGTTGACGAATCAGATAAGGAAGAATTGAATGAGGAGATGGAGGAAGAAGAGATAAATGAGGAAGATCTTGATGATGATGAGTTAGATGATGAAGAGCTGGGCGTAGAATGTTATGATGAAGAATTAGAAACCATTAAAAAGAAGAAAAAAAGTATTAGCAAAGATGAACGGAAGGTGATAATTGAGGGCGAGGACTCTGATATGGATGAATACCCTGAAGAAGAGGAGGATGAAGGTTATGACGATGAAGAAGCAGCCCGTGAACTCTTTGGAAAAGGAGAAAGTGGATCGGAATCAGATTCAACATCCAGAAAACGAAGTTAGTGTTTTCTATCTTTAGGAGTTTTCATCAGTCAAATACTGTCGTGCTGAAGCTAGATTTTCTGAATTTTTCAATGAGTCCTCCATTTTGGAAATGTTCTCTTTTCAAGGCTAATTTTGAAATGCGCATAGATAATCCTGCGCATCCTTAATTGTATCCAATTGGATATCACTTAGCAAGAGTCATCTTGCTGTTTATCATGCTGAATAACCAACTGGTATTTAATGTTAAAATTTTTTATCGCTGCTCATTGCTCTGGCCACCAATAAGTTGCCTCCAGCTGTTTACTACTACTATTTGGAAGTAGTTTTGGGTCATTTTTTTCAGTAAAAGGACCGCAAAATACTGCATGAAAATGACTGTTTTGAACAGCTATCTCAATTCTCTGTTTGAAGAAGTAATTTGCAGATTTTACCTTAGTTCTGAATTTAAGGCATCATATTGAGACTCTGATTTCTTTTTCAGGAGCAGAAGAAGAATATGAGAGCGATGAAAATGGAGAGCCAAAATCTACGTTCGAAAAAAGACAGGAACGGTTGAGGCGTAGAATAGAAAAATTAGAAGAGGATGCTCTTGCAGAGAAACCATGGCAAATGAAAGGGGAGATTTCGAGTAAAGGGCGACCAAAGAATTCTCTCTTGGAAGAAGTTTTGGAGTATCAAGACACATCAAGACCAGGTTTGTAGAGAAAGGAAAGGAAGAAGAAAATCAATAAGTTATACCCTATTGTTTGTATTTTATACTCAAAATGCATTCAGAATCCCCCGATCTATCCTCAATGAGTTGAACACAGAAGCTAAAAAAAAAAAAAAAAAAGAAAAAATGTATAAACATCAAGCCTGAAACAGGCTAAAATATTCCTTTTAAAAACTTTCTCTTTTACTAAGTGTGACCGTTTACAGAAGAAAGGGCCTGAGTCCCTAATGACTCTGTGCTTTGTCATTAATAAGAGAGTGTCTAGGAGTGTACATCAAATATTTTGCAACCAAAAATGCTCAGAAATACCCAACCATCCTGGAGTTGTGGTGGTATGAAGTTCGGGAGGTATCCAATTGAAAAAAGCTTTTAAATTTTTAATCTGCCACTAGGGCATGAAATTGCAGGATTACTGGGTTAAAATGCAGTATTACGCCTTGTATTGCCGTAGAAATTGACACAACTTTTTGAAACTCATTTTTTGGCAAACTAGAGTGTTCCCCATTGAAACCTTAAAATTTGAGTTTTCGACTCAACTCTACAAAATTTGTTTCTCCAAAAAAATTTCCTTCAAGGGCCAGGGTCTTTTTTCTCATGAACTGTCAGTGACATTTTATGAGAGTGACATATAACGTGGCAGTCTGTCACGTTAGTATGATAAGTTCTCGTGAAGTTGCTCAGAGAAAACCCGAAGAAGTCAGGAAATTTGTTTGTTTTTTGTGAAGAAAGGGTTGAGTCAAATCATTTATTTACTAGGCTTCTGGTTGACCCAGGTGGCATCTCTTCTACCATTTGATCGCAGTATAAAAAATGATAAAACAACTTTAGGGATACATACATAGTAGCTAAGGTTATAGCTAAGGTAGTAGCTAAGGTATCCTCATTCATATTGCAAGAAAGAGCTAAAAACCTCCTTGATTATTTTCTGTTCAAGACTGTCAACAAAGCAAGGAATTTCAGCATTTGAATGTTTGAAACTAAGTTGTGGCCTTTATCAGTGCTTAACGTTTAACAAAATTTTCAAGGTCTTTTAAGTGTTTGCACTTTAGGAGGTGCTTCAGCAGAGCTTTTATTTTTCTCTGCACTATTTGTAAGTGTGAAGAGGTAAGTGCTGGCTGTGAGAAGAAATAACGGAACGTTTAATAGTTTGACGCATTTACGCATACTCATTACGTTCGCGCATTTGACGTTTAATAGATTGGTTGGAAGACAATCTGTTTTACAAATTCGCAATCTACTCTTTTAGTGAACGTTATAAATTCCTGTCCCAGACTTATGATACACAGAAAAAACTTCGTTCAGAGAAACAATTCTGAAGAAGATTGTGAAAAGGTTTTGAAATTCTTCAATAAGCACCTGATTTTTTATTCTTGAAGCTGAACGAACCATGAAGAGATTAGACTGCTTGCAATTAATTCTCGACGATACAAATGAAAAGTTCCCATCCAAACTTCTAAGTCATTCTATGGAGTTGTGTACCGATCCACTAACTCCAATCTCATATCAATATCCAATTATAAATAACCGTTAGGTTACTTCCACTAATTTGAAATAAATTTCTTCCTTGAAAAATTTTCCTCTATGAATGTACGTTCTTTTTCCTGTGAACGGTCGTATTTGTATCATAATTCTATACTCTCAGCTTTTTGACACCATTGGAAATTTTACAGCTCCTGTCATCACTGAAGAGACATCAATGAAATTGGAGGATGTGATCAAGCAGCGAATCAAAGATCAAGTTTGGGATGATGTCGAGCGGAAAGTGAAGCCTGTAAAAGGTCCTCTAGAGTTCAAAAAAAAACTGGTGCTAGATCAACAGAAGAGTAAATTAAGTTTAGCAGAAGTATATGAGCAAGTGAGTCAAAATTTTATTCAATTAGCAATCAAGGGACTAAATCAAGGGATATTTCTTCCTTCATTTCAGCATTTTTCACAGACCCGAATCCCCGATCTCCCATCTTGACTGAAGTGTCTACTTGTTTGGAAAAATCATTTCTATCATCAGGACATTCAGGAAGTCCCAATATTCTGTGAATTTTTGCCAAAAGTTGAAATTTGTTTTTGCTTTCCAATTATCCTAGAAGTTGGGAAGCTTTTTAGCATTTATTTAAAATTATAGTTCATTTTTCCTGCGTTAATGTGACTGTGTGGCCTGCCAAATCTTTTGTGTTCTGTAACAGTTTAGTGTAGTATTACAAGTGGAATTTAGCACTAAAAATTCTGCAGGCATTGTTAGGCAATTATTTCAGCTGTGTTTTATCGTAAGCGCCAAAGTACTATTCTCAAGACAATGCATGCAGGAGTGCTCTGTTGCCAGCAGCAAGGAATCCTAGTAATTTTTCCTCCCATTCAGTACAATGTTGTATTTTATTGGAAAACTGTACAGTCCTAATTGTATTTCTTGGCATGGCAGGCAATTAAATTAAAGGCTAATTAAATCATGAGTCATCACTTTAAGAGACTATATAAGCTCTGTCCATAATAGGAATGCCTACTTGTTCTGCTGATCTATCAAACTAGTTCCATGAAAAACTGTCCATGGATGGATAAGAATTAGCCAATCACAAAGTAATTTTTTCCTTCTAATTCTCAGGAATTCGTCAAACAACGAGATGCCCTTAACCCTGAAACAGCGGATGTTACAGAAGAGACGCCCAAAGAACACGAAGAAATCTCGAACATGATGTCCTCCCTTTTCAGAAAATTGGACGCTCTGAGTAATTTCCATTACACTCCGAAACCCGTAAGTAGAAATGAGCCAGTAATTTAGTTTGTGACCTCGTTTTCCCAGGGATGCACATTCTTCTATGCCTTTCACAATTTCATGCAAAAAATTTTACCCCTTCCACAAAAACCACAAAAAGTGATGACTTTTTTATTTTTTTTTTTAAAAGATGAATCAGAATTGTAGACACCCAAGAAACTAATTCACAAAAATTAAGACTTATCTGGAAATTAGCTTAATCCGAGAATGGAGGAAAACCTGCCATCTTGTGAAAAAAATTGTAGAAAGCCTTCCACAATTTTTCTGTCAACAATTATCATGGGATCGTCTGTAAGAAATTAAGAAGAGCCTTCCACTGTCTTTCGTAAAAAAAACTTAGGAAGTCTTTCACAATATTTTGGCAAAACATATGGAAACCCTTCCACATCTCAAGGGAAATTGAGGAAATCCTTCCATATTCAGCTGAGACTTCCACATTTTGTGGAGACTGTTCCACATTTTTTGGGAACCCTTCCACAATACTTAGGTAAAAAATGTGGAAATCCTTTCACAATACTCAGGTAAAAAATGTAGAAACTGTTCTCGATATCTCGAATATTTTGGTGACTAACCCTTCCACAATGTTTTGGTACATAATAACACTGGGATTCGAAGTGAAGAATGGAAAAATAAAAGAAGAGGCTTCCACAAAATCTAGGAGGCTTCTACAATTTCACGCAAATATTTATTGTTCGATCACGCTTCCGTAAAATTGGCAAAGGCTTCCACAATTTCACGCTTAAATTTTTCCTGTGATCTAGAATAATGTGCTCCTCTGGGTTTTACTTTGAAGTCAACGGAAAACCTCAGCAAAAGTTGAGAATTTGAGTTTTATTTTTCATAACTGTAACAATGAAGGATCATCTGTAGTTTTGGGGAACAGAATATCATGATTTATAGAGTTAAATAAAGATGTAATTTATCTATCTATCACAGAAAAATTAATTCCACCAATGATAATCTTTATTCCGATATCGGATTTTTTCTTTATTTCTTTATTTTGATATCTTTATTTCTTTCTTTCTTTTTCTTTATCTTTATCTTTATCTTTCTTTTCTTTTTTTTTTACTTTATGTATATATTATTCTACCTCTCCTTCTCTATTGCTAATGATTAATATATATATTATTCTACCTCTCCTTCTCTATTGCTAATGATTAATATATATATTATTCTACCTCTCCTTCTCTATTGCTTTTGATTCAAAACTTGCTATATCCATTTTAATATTTTCAGACTGCAAATTTTTTTTTCAATTTTTCTTAAAATTTCCTAAACCAACCTGAATCACTAAAATCTCTGATTAAGCAATTTACCAATCTGAATCACAAAAATCTCTGATTAACCAATTTACTATCAAATTTTTAGTTAGTGTTAAGACAAAGAACTGCTGAAACGATCTGTTTTATTGAAATTGATAACATTCAGAATTGATTCTTTCTAAGTATTTCATTAAAACTTGCGGCCTTCAGAAAAAAATTCCTCTGGTCGTAATCTATGAATTTTGTCTTGGTATTACTGTTTTCCCCCCCTCCTCAATAACTTTAGAATTCTTTTTGACTGTCACAAAATTATACGTTTTGTACTGTTTAGTCATTTGATACTAATTTGATATTAATTTGTCTTAATTTTGAAGGCTGTACCAGAGCTGAAAATCATCAACAATTTACCGGCTGTTACTGTTGAAGAAGTGGCTCCTGTTTCAGTTTCAGATGCTGCCTTACTAGCTCCGGAAGAAGTCCAAAGTAAGTTTTCCAAAAACAATCAAACTTTTTCTCGGTACAAATACTTGTCCATAATTTCTACTTTTTCTCTACTTTTTTTTTATCCCTCTGATGATTATAGCATTTGACATCTTTGTTTTCAAAATTTTTCATCTCCATTACTCAATTAGTTTTTTTTCCAAAGGACTCCGGCAAGGTTGCTGTAAATTTTCAGCCCTCTCATTTTTTATATTGACTTTCCCAGTTTAAAAACTCCTTTTCCCTAAAAAAAATTTTAAACCCAATGACAGAGTTCTTTTCCTCCTTGGAAATTTTTTAGACCTTGCAATCACACGGCCAGTGGGTGTAGTTTCTGCACCTTTAGATGTTCATCTGAACTTTGTTTTTTTTTGGTTCCACGGCCAAAGATTTAAAAAAATTAGAAATTCCATGGCCATTGTGCAAATCCTCACCATTTTCAACCCACTCATTGTAATTAAACAACGTTTTTAAAAATCCTCTCAGAAGTCATCTTTACTTACCGCAGGAAAATTCACTGACATTCTTCCAAACTGCTTCGTTACTTATTCATTCAATTTTTCTGATAAGTACTTGTAAAAACTTTGCAATTTTCAAAATAATGTGAGGCCATATCTATAATAATAGCTCATGTCAAGCTTTTAAGTTTAGAGAAAATCTGGCTTAGAGTTTTGAAGGTTTTATAGGCTTAAAAGTACTCTTTGGCGTACTCAGGTGAACTAGTTTGGCTGAAGGATTGAGTATAGAACAAATACTCCTCTGAAAAATTGTTTTTACAAGTTTAAAGAATCAATAGTTAGTGATTAAAAGTGAATTTTATAAAAGACAACAACTACTGTTGTTACAGAGAAATTTTTGTATGCATGCAAGCAAGTCTTTACATAGGGTAATGGAGGTAAAATGATCAAAATAAATCAAAACCAAGCTAATTCTGAGTTTTTTAATATATTTAATTGAAAAAGTCAATCTTTGGTAATTTTAAAAAAAGGAACTTATTGTAAAACAAGTTTTTTAAAATCGAATTTCTCTGTCTTCTATTAACAATAAATTTGTTTTGAGAAAGTGGTTTGCCCCCAGTGGTGAACTTCAATGCTGGCAAGGAGGGCCTGAAGCAAATGAATGAAAATTCAAAGAACTTGTGTTTAGTTCTCAACAATTCTTGTATCCACTGTTTTTATGTATAACTTGACCTCCCTTGGTTTTTAATTCATATCTCCTCTAAATTGTACAAGAAGTCTGAAACTTGGCATAAATATTTTTTTAAAGATCCGAGCTGGAAAAATGTCTGTAAAAGTGGCGGATGTTGACATCCGTTTATGGCCTTATATGTGCATGATTAAAATGTTGTGAGTTCCTGGCGTTTTGCAATTTTTATTCTTTAATTTCTAGGGAAGCAAAAAGGAGATCTCATTGGAAAGGAAGAAAGGTCCACAACAGATAAGAAGCGTGAGAGGAGGAAAAAGAAACAACTGCAGAAGAAGAAGAGGTTGGAGAAGGAAGCTAGAGAAAAAGAAATTAAGAGTAAAAAAGCAGTTCCAGATGTATTCTAATTTTTCTTGTGTAAAGTTAAGTTTTCGCGTAAACTTACTTCCTCCCTTGAACATCATGAGAAATAATAGTGTGGACTTCTGTTTGCGCTGGATTTTTTTAAAACGGTCCAGATTTTGTTCACTTGCATCATTTTTTTCAAAAACTCTACCACCTGTTCATATTTTGATTTATTTCATTCATTAAGGATCCTCAAACAGTCAAATGAAGATCTAATATCTCAGTTTATATTTCATACAAACTTGTTTCTCATGTTTTGTTCTTGTGTGTCAATTAAGTAAATATTGTTCATTCAAAGAGCTACCTCTATCACTGTGGTCTTTTCTTGTGCAAGATCAATTGTTTTAATTAGACTGTTGTACAAATGTATCAACAATCCATTTTTTTCTCTTTTTTTTAAGTAAAGAGGTAGTAATTTCTTAGTTGTAAAGTCTAAGTAAGTTGGCCTTGAAAGTTAATGCCTACAGAAGCATGCCTCCATTGGCCTCTTCCTCAGTATGAACAAGTTTGTTACATTATGATGGTGTATTTGTTGTGTTTCAATCATAGCTACCTAGATCATGTAAGTCATCAATGATTAATGATTGAATAATCAAGTAAACCATTATTTTTGTTTTTTATGTTTTTCGAAACTGGTGAGCTATTGTTTTTTGAACTGAACAGCAATCCCCTGAACATGTCTTTACACATATATTCTAGTTCAACTGGTAGCCAAAACCTTGTGACTAGTAATATCACCAGCAATTTTGCTGCTGAAGGACCAAATCATCACAAAATATGTGACGGTTTGCATGGAATAGGGTAGGCAATTTTAAATCAATGACAGATAATAGATTATTTGTCAGAAACAATGGTGAAAATCCCATTTCTTTTTTTGCATCAATTTGATATGGAAATCTATTTTTCGAACCAATGAGCAAAGAAAATCAATGAATTTCTCAGTTCAATAAATTAAGTGTAAAGAAAAAGCTTGTCCAAATTGAGGAGTTCCTTCAAATAACTATGTATAACAGAAATGATGAGTGTGAGAAATTCACTAATGAAAGATTCAAATGCGTGCAGTCTTGACAAAAATTGATGAATTTTTAAAATTTAAAAGCAGTATTGAAGAGCATACTCTCCTTGATCGGTCGATTTAAAGATAAACATTTTAAAGTGATCCTGCGCTTTATAGTAGAGAAAGCTGCAAGTTCAGGTATATATGCTTTTCACGAAGAACCACTCTTGCACCTCGAAAATACCACTTAGATCATCGATTTTAGCACAAATTTGACAAGAAATCAGAGTTGCGAAATGAAATTTCACCAGAAAGTTTCACATGAAATTTCATTTTGGCCAGAAAGTTTCATGATAAGTGAAATATTCCTATTTTAGTAGAAAAAATGTATTTAAACCTTTAGAATCACTGTCAGAGCTATTCTGAGTCATATTTTACCGTAAATATACTCATTCGGAGGCTTTCACTCATAGCAAATCCCATTATTTTACAGTTTCCGCCCGAGCAGAACTGTCGGGAGTGCCAAACCTAAAAATTGAAAATATTTGTTGTGATTATTAAATTGGTGTTTAATTGTTTACAATCGTCAAAGAGCGAGAGGTGTAAGAAGTTTCCGTAATCTTGAGGGTAATTTTGAATACCTCATTTTTTTTAAAGATAGGGTGTGGCAAGAGCCCTCCTAAATTTTTAAGATGAGAAGGTTATTTGTTTTTTTTTAAAAAAGAAGCAAATTCCCGTATTGTTTGTCAACTATTTATTTTCTAAAATCCTTCAAATGATAGTGAAAAATTCCAATGCACAAGTCAGTCATTGTCATCGCATATCTTTTTGGAATCCACCTCCCTTCCCCGCTCGACATCGGCCCTCTTCTCGGCCGCAGCCAGAAGAAATTCACTGCATTTGAACTTCCCACCACAATGTGCGGTAGGGTCTCAAAATCCATCCATAGGATCACAGGAATGAGTAATAATTACTGACCTGTGTGGATTGGTCTTAATGCCTGAAAGAAACCTCTAAAATAGTTCAAAAGTTATTGGAATCGAAGTGCGTAGATGCATTTGTCTTGCAATATTGTTTTACTGACATCAAACATTTCAAAGTAATGAAAAAATACAATGATGAATGAAAAATTTATGTGATGTGAAGGGAAGTGGGTAGGGAACACAAATTGTATATAATTTTTATTATTTTAAGCTGTTTCACAAACCTCTGGATGTAACATAGAAAGTTTAAAAAAGTGAATAAAATTTCATGAAATTTTATCGTAAAATTTCATTTTAGAATCTTTAATGAAATTTCGCAACTCTGTCCCTTCCCTGCTCGACATCGGCCCTCTCTACGTGATCGTGATGTAGGTCAAATCTTCAGATCCATTTCATCCATGTAACCTCTGTTGCTTTGTCTCGATTCGGACAAGAGAAAAAAATTTGAGAAAAGCTTAAGGGTTTGTGTAGTGAAAAGTCAAAAATATTGTTTCATTCATATTTATTTACAGTTTTGTAAAAAATATTTACATATCATATACGTACACTGAATTTATGATTGTTGATCCATCATTGTGATATATTCCGAAAGGTGTTGGAAAAATTCCGGAATCAGTAGATTCATTCGATAGATTGTCTTTGTTAAATGAGGAGAATAAGTTCATGCTCAACATTCGACAAAATCGGGTTTTGATGGTTTGAAAGTAATTCAACTGGGTGTGATTAATTCATCAAGGGTGGTCAGAGGGATCTAATTTTGTTTCTTACTTGAAGAGGGCGTGGTCTTCTTAAAGTGCCCTTTCTATCCCTTTTGCCCGTCTTCTCTTGAGCAAAAATTTTGTCAACATAAAATTCAACCATCTCGGCCCATACTTTAGTGAAATACTCTGACTTATCCATTTTATACAAGTTAAAAAACACTAAAATGTGGCTCGACCTGTAAAAAATAAGGTGGTGGAATAGGTACTACTGATGGGTTCTCGCCATTCTACGGGGAAAGCTGGTCCAAAAATTTCAATTAGGGTCAAACGTTTGAGTTCTGATGAGTATGAATGCTGAATACTCTGCCCCCTCACAGTCTTGCACTGATACTCATTAGAGCTTCAATTCTGTACTCTAATTAAAATTTTTGGACTTTGCTTTCCTCGCAGAATTGTGTGGACCAAGCATTCTACCACCTACCATCTTTTTTTTTTTTTTTTTTTTTTTTTTTTTTTTTTTTTTTTTTTTATTTTGTTTCATACTGCACTGATATTCTAATTTATTTTAAGATTTTCTGAATGGAGCATAACATTTTCCTTTTGAAAATAACAAACTTGTTATAAAAATTATATAGGGTAGGAATCCGAATCCATGGAAGGAATTTTCCATTACATTTCTTAGGTATATTTAATTTAGATTTGTTGGAACAATTGCAAGTCTAGGAGAAAAATCTAAACATAGTTGCAGCGATATGACTCAAAGAATAGCATTTTGCCATGAATTACTACTGTTTCAGGCTCATCAAGGTTACCAGGTTGCTGGCAGGTTGTGCGATCAAAAGAGGATATTTTAGTCCATGTTCCCAGTGATCCTCGTCGACATAGGTCATACTCATCCACTCTGAACACAACAGTCTTAACTCTCTTTAAAGAGCCCCCTTTTTTTTTTTTTTTTTAAATGACATTCGGTAAATCAAACAGCAGATCTATGCTTTAAGATTTTTTTTCTTCAACCTTTGCAACTGTTTAAAACGAGACACACTCAGGGAAAGTTCGGAGCTGTCTTTTTTTCATTCGTCATTTTCAGCAGAATAATAGGTACCTAATTCGGTTGGAAATACTGCAAACCGGTTCAAAATGGACATGCAAATTTTCAAGGTCTCCGACCGAAGGAGTCGACTTCACCCGGTCAAAATTAGATACTCAAAAGTTTTAGGTCATGTTTTCTGGCTTTCACCGTCGATGTGATCTGCGTATCTCGTTCGCCTTGTTTCAAAATCTCTGCTTATGTTTTATATTTTTAAAGACGAACGAGCCAAATTTCTCGCTTGTAATTTTCACAGAATATCCCTCACACAAACAAGACAAATCAGTAAGGATTTCGAGAAATGATGTCAAGTGTTTTCCCCGCATTTAAAAATGAATTTACAATAGGAAGTCTTCAGTGTCGCAAACAGAGATATCGCTTTCAGGACATTCTGTCGATGATTTTTTGTCCGCGCACCTATTTTGTCCAGCCTAGGTAGTTTACGTCCACGTGTAAAATAAGCAACAGTGACTTGGTCCAATCGTTATATTTTAGTCTGTACGTAAAATTATATTGACAATATCAAATAGAAAATTGAGAAAGGAAGAGATGCATGTTGTTGTGGTAACTCATTTTTTTAACGTAATGTTACCTCTTCTTTTTGATTCATCCTTTCAAATTATCATTGGTGAATATTTGGCTTTATTTCTATCCTCAAAGTTTTCGATAGTCACTTATTCATACCTTATCTATCCTTTTTTTTATTAAATGAAAATATTACCTACCTACTTCATTTTAAAAGCATTTCGACGGTGAAACTACCAAACCACGTATCTCGTTTGCGGTGTTTAAAAATCTACGCTCACATTTTATTTTTTTGAAGTAGACCAAATCAATGTCATTCCTTAAAATTTTCACGGAATTTTCTCCGCACAAAGAGGAAAAATCACAGAAATTTTCAAGACTAGATGTCAAGTAGTTTTTCATTTAAAAAATAAAGTATGACAGGAAGTCTGCGACGTCGCAAACCGAGATACGTGGTTTGGTAGTTTCACCGTCGATTTGCATTTTTAAAACGCGGCAAATGTTTGTAAAACCTTTTTCAAGCGATGACATTGATATTAATCTCAATGAGCCGTAGTTGTGTTGAAAGAAACTAGGTATACAAAAATGAATAAAAGAAGAAAAAAAAACCAAGAAGCACGCAATCTTTGGTTTTAAACCCATTTGTAAATCGATCGTTTGGAGTCGAATATGTTTAAATTTGAGGGTTTGGTTCCGCGTGCACCATACTGCAGCACAGCAAGAGCACAAAATATAAAAGAAAAAATTAAAGTGCTTCTAAAATCATTCAATTTGACAAGGAACCGGCCTGAAATTTAAAAACACTCATTATATTTTCCTTTAATACATATTCTTTTTTCATCAATTTAAATGAGAATAATCCATGCGGAGTGTGCAGAAATTTCAATATCATGAGCTGAATTAGACTTTGTCCGGAGGTGGCTACCGCCACCCATGAAACGCTGACTCCGCGAGTTTAAATATTAGAGTCGAACACAGAGCGGAGAGGCGTGCTGCGCTTCCAGCGCGACACGCGCACTGGCGCCTACGAACCTAACTGGGATACTTCACGCATTGCACGATCGCGCACTGGCGCCTACGAACCTAACTGGGATACTTCACGCATTGCGCAATGCGTGAAGTATCCAAGTTAGGTTTGTAGGCGCCTGGGGCAGGCGCGTTTCGCGCTGGCCGCTGGCCGGCCGTCGCGCCGCAGCGTGCCACGACGCAGCGTGCGGCATCCTTATGGACGATGCGGACAAAAATCGGTAAAAGACACTTTTGAAATAATGAAGATAGTAGCACCAACATAGAAAAGCCCGTTTGCTTTATCAAAATAAAACACTCGAGGAATAAGAAAATGTTATATCTCAGGCTTTTTTGCGTATTTTTCGAGAAAAGTTCATTTGAAGTTGGCAACCTCGAATCTGCCCTACATGAAAACAATGTAAAAGCAACGTGAAACACCCAACCTTTAACTTCAAATATCTCTGATAGTCGCAAAATCTTTTCGGTAGAATTAAAGTTGGATATGTGAGGATTAAGAAAATGTCAACCACCCAGAGCATTTTGCGTTTCAAGCGAGAAATCTTCATTTGAAGTCTACGTCTTTTTCCCGTGTATTTCTTAAGGACCAGTGATTCTCAATCCATTTCCCGCCCACTTTCCACCCATATTTGAAGTAGTTTTGAGCGAAAACTTTGAAAATGAACCATCAATGTGAGTCAGAAATATCTTCAAGATGACAGACTCCAAAAAAAATTGTGAATTTTTGACTTTTGTCCACAGAGGGCCGCACTGTGCGACGCCTCAATCAGCTATTTCACAACAGAGGTGTTGCAAGGTATCATACACAATTGAAGGCGCTCCAACATATTAAGAGTGACATGGCATCCTTTACGAGTATGAAGCTTTCCTCGCAAAATAAACCAAGATACTACGGCACAAAAATAGAGGGGTAGTCCAAAAACTAACCAAGTCGTAGCATCCGTATTTAATAACGTTTAGCATAATTTTTGAATTCATTAGAGATAAAAGTGACTCGATCTAGGCAGAAACCTTCTTGAGTATGCCGCCAAGAAACTTTTATTTTGAATAAATAATAAAATAGCTGAATGAAAGTGGGTTTCTGCTTGATGTACTTAAGTGACTTTCATTAAGCATATTTAAAGCATTTTTAAAAAATCATATTTTCTTCTTTAAATAAGCATTAGTTTTTTCATTGATTCATAAAGAAATCTTCTAACCGGTAAATTTGAGTATATTTCTGCTTGAATCAAGTCACTTTTGCTTCTAATGAAGTTAAAAAATCTTGTTGAACGCAATTGAATACAGATATCCGGACTTAGTAAGTTTTTCGACTATACCGCTGCTCTCTTACCATAGAGAAAAAAAAGGAGGTGTTTGCATTTCGGGCATCTTGGAATTTTTCATAGAGTATCTATAGCTTTGATGACGTCATTGGGTACAGCGACGTTTTTATCCTGTCGATTTTCTTGGAAATGGTGTAATTTAAGGGAAAAAGTCATTCTATAAAAAGTGCTTGAAATTAAATAAAGAGTTGATTTAAGTAAAAAAATCGGACATTATGGTCCGTTTTTACAGCGTCAACATAACCCTCAACGAGCGTCTTGTTTACATTGATGACGTAGGTGGGTACAAATCCTCAAGATGCAAACACCTCCTTTTTTTTCTCTATGCTCTCTGACTGTCGTCGTCACTCGATTTAATTTGCGAGGGGACTTCGTGTTTCTGAAAGATGTCATCAATCATGATACGTTTGAGTGCCTTCAATCTCGAATGATACTGTGCAACACCTTTGAGGTGTAGTTGCTCAAAGCGTCGCGGCACGCCGGCGCCGTGGAGAAGTTAGGGCACACAGGAAAAATCTAAAAGCCTTTAGCCAAGGCAAATGAAAAGGTTCATCCGGTTCAGGTATACCTAACAAGATAGGATTTTCTTGAAAGAAGTCCTGAAGTTTTCTTGAAGAGTTGCACCACAGAGGTTTACCTAGAGAGTTTTAGTGAATTTTCCCTCATGGAATTGACGCTCCCCCATTTTTACAAAAAATCTGAATTATATATTTTTCTCCGTTGGATCAAACAGAAAACAAAAAAANAAAAAAAAAAAAAAAAAAAAAAAAAAAAAAAAAAAAAAAAAAAAAAAAAAAACGAGAAAGTAACAAACAAACCCTCATTCTTCCAAGACATTTTATATTTTCATCCAAAGAGCACTTGTCGTTTGTATTTACACCAATTAACTTCAGGTCTAAATTGCTAGGTAGACCAAAATTCCCCGGCTGACAAAACGCGTGGACGTAAACTACCAGAAAAAACAGGTGCGCGGACAAAGAATTGTTGACAAAATGACATATAACCGAGATATCGAGGCTAAGTAAGAATACCTCCAACCTGCAAATTGACAATTTTACATTCTGTAGAATGCGGCAAAATCGCTGACTCATTTCCGCCAAAATTGCCAGTTGGGTGTTGCTAGATTTGCTTGGTCAGTATTGCTCCTTAGTCATTTCAAAATTCTTTCAAATCCTTTGTTTTTGCAGTTTCACAGTTGCTTTACAGTGATATTAATTGCAGAATGCTCTCACACGATCATTTTGCAGACATGTTTTCTTCCATGTCGCAGTAGTATTGTCTAAAAAGACAGTGTTCTTTCTGAACCGAATTTCAGTATTTCTAATCAAACAATTTTTTTGCTCCACGTACCCACTAGCTGCCGGGTGGGTTTGTTTTCTGGCAGGAGGGTTTGATGGCTTTTATACAATAGTTACAATAAATCTTGGTTGATTTGACTATCCAGTGGAGAAGAAGGTTAAGTTTAAGAGCTAAAGTTACGACAATATCCTGCTGAGGATGAAGAACGAAGATAATAAGATGGCGCTGAACGGGGACTCAAGCCGCAATTGACTGCCATGCTGCATTGCCGCCGGGTGTTCGCCTGAAATCAGAATAACAATCAATCGATCAGTTTCAGGTTTTTTCCTTTACGAAATTAGAATAGGTTCAGAGAAATCTCGAATGGATCTGCGAGGGAAAAATAGAGGCTCGAAATGGTTCAATTTCAATTCTCTACAAGAAACTGAATCTCTATCACACCTGCTCCTCATTTTACTAACAGTTAATTTTGTCGTTTCCAGCTAAGATTTTTGATGGGCAAGTTCAGAAAGCCTGTTTACTAATGATTGGTTAAGTTTATTCCGTTTCCTTAGATTATAACAGGTCAAAAAAATAGTATCGGAGACGATTACCCGAAATACACGTTTTCAAGAGAAGGGGAAAAAAGCGGTGTTAACCAAAAATAAAGCGAAAAAACCAACGTTTAGCTTATTTTTAAACTGATATCGACCTATAAAGGTTCGAGTGGTCCAGATGAAGTTAGGATATGTTACGGTAGGTAGGTTAGGTTAAAAATTGTGTCAAATTAGGTTAGTTTCATCTAGGTTACATCAGGTACCATTTCTACAGACGCATGTTGAAGGACCAATCAAGGGTGAGAGGTATGTAAAGGAAAGGGTGTGTGATGATTCCATTAGTTGTGATATTTGGACGCGCTGAAGTTTATTATTATAAATTCCTATTGTGTTTGTATCCTTACCTACTACGAATTGCACGTGTACTGGCCGAATTTTGAGATTGTGCTTCATTGCTGTTGAGTGTACCCGCCATTTGCATTTAAAATTACTCGTATTAAATTTTTACGCTTGACACGAGTACTATACTTGACTGGAAAAACAAACCCTCGATCCGAGATAATTAAATTTAGTTTTTAGTTTTTTGGAGGTCGAATTGGATAGTTTTCGTAGAATGGGGTAGTTGCATGCAGCTAGGATTTCAAATCTGATGACTGATTTTAGCAGAACTTTTTGCGAAAAAACCGTATTTCGCATTTGCAAGTTCCGATATTGAGTCGAAAGCATCGAAAAAGTTCGGTAAGTCGCAAAATTGCGGTATGACTGTAAGGTCAATTAGTATACAATTCATACATACAATACATTTCCCAAAAGCGTTTCACGCTGACCAGCGAACGCACTGTGTTTGGCGCATTATGTGACTTATTCCTACGGTCTTATAGGTGCTAAAATGCGTTCCGCGCTTGCATAAAAAGTTGCATCAAGTCCCCGTCACCGCCGACCAACGCGTTTGTCGATCGAATCAACTGCAGGTAGTATGGTATGCGTAGGAAGTCAAAACGCCTTCAAATTTTTGAACGCAATACGGACATCCGTCGAGGTTGTATAGTTGTATCAAGGCGCCGTAGCAAACGCGTCCCATTGTTCACCGTTACAGACGAATATAAGTTGAGAGAGGCCAGTCATAAAACAATTCCGATTATTACTACGTTGGTGCCTGTTATATAATGTAAGGAATTAACGGAAAACTACCATAAGCTGTAACTGCCATTTAACCAATGTTAACAGGAAACACTTGTATCTTTTTTTTTGGGCATTAATTTCCAGACTTCTACTTGCGTTAATTCGTTTATTTCGAAAGATAATGGAGAGAGAACATGTTGCGTTGCGCTTTAATACATGCCTTGTCTATAAAAGCCCATTCATGCCTCTGAATGTTACTTGTACTATCCGCTTGAATACAAAGTTGGAGACAATAAAATAAAAAAAGGACTATATCTGTTCTGCCATGCTAAGGAAGAACGCCGTATGAACTTTCGAGAGTTGCCAAATTTCTCTTGATAAAACATATACTTTTGACAACATTCATGCACTTTTCCTTAACTTTATCAGATATTTAAGATTAAATTGCGTGCAAAATTGACTGAAATTTTTGAGAATAATATTCACAATTTTCCTAATAAATTTGGTTTTTATCGGAGGAAACTTGGCAACGTCTGAAGGCTCATACGGCGTTTTTCCTTATCATGGCAGTATTGTGATATGAGCCCTGTCATGCATGTATTCCTACGGAGCTGAGGGCTCACATTAGAATGGATATAGTTCCTCTTGATTTAAACACGTGGCATTGAGCAAGTATCTCTGCGACACAGAGGGAATTTCGGGGCAGAGTGGAGTGGAAACATTCAAGGAATTCAATGTGGGTTCAATTCGAGGAGTGACAGGAGCCGCCGGAAATTGGGCCGTGAAATTGGGCCGTGTGTCGGCTGTGTCGCTACGTTGCGTGTGCAAAGGGCAATTTGCAGAGGGGTCGCTGACACGCTTACGTCGTCTTGTAGAACTCGCATCGGGAACCAAGCGCCAACAAAGCTTACCACTTCCTCGTAACGGCCAATTGATATCCCATCGCGCACAGAGGGTATGTGGGTGTGCGTTCAGGAATGCGTTAGGTCCTCCTATTCGCCTACCGCAAGGAGCTCAATTCATAGTCTACTCATACTCATCTCTCATACTAACATGCTCAACGTGTTTTGCATAAATGTTCTTGCCGAACCCGTAATTTCCTGGTCCATTCCAGATTAAAATCTTTGCAATTGGTGAAAATGTAATCTCTATTCCCGTTTGCGACACTGTCGAGGCCTAAAATACGGGAACCAATCAGAAATTGATTCACATTGTCTTAAATCTCGGTATAAAGGGACTCAAATTGAAACTAATTATTAAGAACTATTCAGAAACAAAAGAGTCTCGTCGCTACACTGTTAGGAACATCGCAGCGAGGTCCGGAGAGTAATCAGGAGCGAGGCGTGAATGCTCGATCATCGATATTTCCCTAGTTGAAACTGTAGTAAAGAATCGATTATTTAAGTATTCTCTGTCGATCTTTTTCTATAGGGTTGAATGACAGATCAATCGATGTATCGCAAAGCACACCACGTCACTGAGAGTATAATCGACTCAACGATGTAAAATTATAGATAGGCTGATCCTATGCCATGCCTTCGGTTAATTTCGTACCCAACCTGGAATTAAACCCATGTTGGGACAAAAATAATTGATTTATATGTATATTAAACTGCACTGAAAATATAGTTCTGTTCACAGGGCTCCTGCATTTCCTTTGTTACAGCTACAGATGTTTCCGTTATGAGGACAGAGTTCTCGGCCCTCATAACAGAAAAGCTCTGCACGTATAACGAAGAAAGTGCAAGAGCCCTGTGCACAGGGGGGGGGGGGGCC